ACAAAGAATGCTGTGCTGAGCCACAAAAAAAGTTGTGCTGAGCCACAAAAGGTCGTGTTGAGCCACAACTCATGTTGAGCTGTAAAGTCATGTTGAGCTGGCAGGCACTCTGGAGGAGTGCCCAGGTTGCGAGCGAGCGAGCAACCAGGGGCTGTGACGCTTAGTCACAACCTTGGCACGATTACCACGCTGGGTGACAGACTGGTGGTGGAAAGATCAACTCTCGCAATCCCCTATCAGTTGTCCACTATTGGCAGTTGCGCAACTCATTAATATTTCAATCACGCATTCCTCTCGATCTGATCATAGTCAAGCAGGACCCCTATTATCTGCGTGACCATGTTCATGTTCATCACTAGTTTAATGATTTGATTGAGATGAGATTTTTTTTTAAAAAAAACAAGACCGCTGTATACAAAAAAGGGGGGGAACACCAATCACCTCCCCCGATCTTCATTTTATTCACTCCCGTTCCCCCTCAAGACCGACCAATCACGTCCTATGCATATATCCCTTAGGTTGCACATGGACAACTAGTGCCCTCGCCTCTCTCTGCCTCTCTAGTCACTCACACGATCAGTTGTCAATCCAATTCCAAGAACCAGTTAAGCAAGGTTGACTTACGGCAATCGCATGATAGGTTTTTCTCATTGGGCACCGCGCCAGACCTGACTGGCAAACAGCCCAAGCTCCTGTTCAGTGAAGATAATACTGCCTTCACCGCGGCCTTGGACAGGCTGGCGAAGGAAAATTTTGGTGAAATCGAGCTCCAAGGGAGCTCCGGTAACGATTGGTGTAGTACCCGCTGATTCATCAGTAGGAACACCAGGGCCGCTGATATCGACTTCCTGGATTTTTGTAGGTGTTCCTATCAAATGACTAAGGGCACCCTGAGCGACATTTGGGCTTGCGTGGGTGGCCATTTCCCATTTCTCGATGTGTATGCTTCTTGCCTCTTTGGAGATCGAAAAGAGGAGGACAATGTTGACGCCCTCCACCGAGTTCTCTAGCCACCAGTGAGAGTCTACCCTCAGGCGTTTGAGGGATTCTGATACTCCGCATTCAATGACCAAGGTTGGCCAATCATTTTCGTAGGGGCGAAAGGCATTAGGTTTGTAGGCGCCGTCCGCTTCTTTTCCGCTCTGAATCCCCTGAAAGGTAGCACTACCAATCGGACTAAGAGCCTGACGTAGCCCCATTCCGGTTACCTTGGCCCACAATTCCACCGCAAACTCTCGACTCACTAACTCATGCACTCTGCCGGGCATGATTTTGACGATCAGTGTTTGTTTGTCGTTGAGGTATAGGAAGCGGAGTCGTTTGTGCTGGGTGTCACGAAGAGAATTGATCTTGATAAGCTCGTGGGGTGTCACAGGGCAATACACTACGTACTGGCCAGCCTGATGTGCCTCCAATTTCTCAGCATGCGACTCAATCGCCCTAGTGAACGTGGCGCTACCGCTAAACCTGTGGTGTTCTGCCCCTTCTAACCCCTCGCTGAGATAATATTGTATGTCAGATAGTTGAACAGGCCCTGGGTTTTGGGAGCCAGGGTGGGTTTGGGGGACATCCATATTCTTGGTGGCAGTAGATATAGATACTATGCCGCTCGAGTGGACCTGGTACCGGGTGCTCTTGATGGCCGGTTGCTGATCTTGGATGAAAATGAAGCGGTAGCAGAGACTATAAGTGGAGGTGGTGCTGGGCTTATTTTGGGGGGATGGTGGGGTTTAAATAGCTTAAAAGGTCCAGTACGGGTGCGGCCGATAGATATATTAGTCACGTGCATTATCTCTGGACACCACAACCAGAAGGCCAACCAAATCTTTATCTTATCAAACCCACGTGACTAATATATCTATCCGCCGCGCTCGTAGTTGTATGATAGTATAAAAACAGAATTAGAGGCAATGACGTTGCCTTAGTTCCCTTAGAGGTTGCTGTGTGATTTGGAGCTATCCCATAATAGGGTACATCGACTCCCCAATATTCATGTGCTGACCAGAACGTTTAAGTGTACCCTAGCACTACAGGCTACTGGGGATTCCAAACACCAAAATTGGAGTCAGAATTTAGCATTGCTGCTCGGGTGCTCATGGGCGGTTTACCATACAAACTTTTGACCCTGTTTTCACGTTCTTGTTGCCGGGAACCCGCAGTGTGATACCCCCAGCCGTCCAGTCCTTCTGTCCAGCTTTTCGTGAGTGCTAGGTGACAGACTACGCACAGGGCCGATAGGAACAGACGGACTACCATGGATTGCGGTCTTCAAGCCTAAAATCCTATGCACAAAAGAACTTTGTCGGCCCCAACATTTCAACCATATCTGAGGTTGTTAGTCGTATAATATTTTATCACACAGAGTCCCCCCACACACCACAGTATTCCCTTGCCATTCAAAGCTATCCCCTGCAGTCCCAGGAAATCTTCAGAAGTCTCCTGCTGTCTGCTTAGCTACCCCTCCTTCAGCCTGTTGGTCCACCGCCTGTCTACAGATGCTCGTCCTGCATTTTCACCACCCTGAACACACTGTACATAGGTACATAGACATCCTGTCCTGTCCAGCCCTCCTGATAGTCCCCCTGTTGGGCCCCGCTGTGCCACTGGACGAGTGCGAACAGTGCTTAGCACATGTCACTTCTATACTCCATTTTCGGGTTTAACTCCAAATTACTCTTGAAATACCTACTGCATATGAGAACTGCTAGGGAGGCCCCGGATTAATAGCCTAAGAGTGAATAAAATTTAATCTCATTCAGGTGCCTTGAAGCTATATACCCGTATTTTTTCTGTAGTCTTCCACCATAACTAGCAACTACCCACCACCTCTGCAACCTTATAGAATCCCTCGGCCTGACATTTATTAATGTCCCTATTTGATACCACTCAGAATACCCCCTATTCTAGCATATCCCCATGGCTGCTGCTTAGTATAGAACTTCATATAGCTGGTACTGGTAGTAAGTAGTGCTTCAGAAATCCTTGGGTTGAGTAGCCTATAGATATTCATTTCAGTTGCTTAAATTTTTTTTCCCCCCGCCAACCAGGAACAAGTAATCACTAAGTAGTTGATTGTAGAATAAGTAACCTGATTACTCTCTGGGGGTTTCTAGATTTACCATGTGGGAGACCCAACAAATTTCACTCTTTCAGCATAGGGCAGTTTTCGGTTTGGGTAAAAAAAAAATGTTGGAGTCAAAGTGTGGCAATAATCACACCAAATTTCCCTTGCTTATGGGACCAGATGACAGTCCGCACTGTATCAATTTTACACCCAACTGGAAATTATGCCTTGAAATTCTAGCTACAATAATATTCTGCTCTGCAAATTTAGGGGTGTTTGTTTCCCAACTATTAGTATCTCACACTATCTTAAATACTTATACAATTCATTGGCTTGCCCAATTTTCGTCACCAGTAGGAGTGAATTAATAGACTGAGACCTAGGGCTCAACCTTTTCTATGCAATACGGGCTTGACTCCCCCGAAATTCTGATGCTGGGTATATATAGATTTAGTTGCAGGTTTAGCTCATTTAGCAGTGAAAGCACTCTATTATGTACCCTACATGGTTGAGGCCAATATATTCATGCACCAGGAGCTGCAAAAAAGTAATAAGCATCTTGCGGCCCGGGCTCTGTAGCTAAAACCAGGAACAAAGTGGGTGATTGGTGATAACAGTTCCTGGAAGTACCCTGGAAGTTGGGTCATAAAAAAAACAACTGCAGCCGGAAGTTTTTCTTTTCCAGACCATCTCAATTTTCCAATATGCTATTCCCTCATAGGAGCTCTGATATACAGGGTTTAGGAGATAGACCTATGAGTCAATTTCTGAATCTTATACAGATCTTGCTGATCCCCCTCCCAAACTCCCCGGACTGGTCACACTGGCATTCTCATCTTAAAATGCTGCTCAAACACTCCAGATTTCCCCATGATCAGTTTCTCAAACTCCACTATAATAGTCCGAGTCACCACTACCAGTACAGTATCTTTTTCCTTCCCACTGAGTTTCTGTGATTGTACCTTATTTTTAACAGGAACCTATATGACTGCAGCCAGTCCAAATGTATGCCCCCTGCACCACCCCCTGTCTTGTTGAAGCTAGTCTTGAATGCTGAGATGATGCTAATCCCTTACCCTTATTTAGGGCCTGTTTCTATACAGACAGTCGTCTAGTGTGCGATTGTTGGCAGTGTCAACCATCGAGGTGGTCTTAATGGTCAGTAGTACCAAGAGCTCAATTCTCATTCAATGCTTGCCTAACATGCTATTTTTAGTAATGCAAGGTGTATCGTACTTGGCCGATTCAACAGTATCTGGAAATCTTGATGCCAAGACATCTAGAATACTGCAAAGAAAATGGGTAAAACTATATAATTATTATAATAGAAATTAAATAAGAATAGAATTGAAAGATAAGTAATACTACTTAGGCTATATATGATTCATGCCTGGAATTTCTTTCCACTATTTATTGCTATACATCTTACCATAATATCTGGCAGCTTCACAATTTCATGATTGATCTCCTCAATTGTGATCTTTTCCCACTCGGCTTTCAGAACAATCTCCATTGCTCCCAGTGAGGTTATACTCTCAGTACCACAGCGGTGAAGTATTCTTGACTTCATTAGACACCAAATATGCTCTATTGGGTTGAAGTTGGGAGAGTTTGGTGGCCAATCCACCTTAGCCATGCCCTCTCTTAGCCGTTCTTGATTTGTAAAATCTGAATTATAGGAAGGTGCATTATCCTCCATTAGTTGAAAGTGAGGGTTGATACTGGTTCGAGTCTGACAGATTGGCCAAAGCAGCGGTCTGCATAAAGAAGTTACATATCTGTTAAGAATCCTAGTAGCCGTAGGGGTGCAACAGGTAACGATACTTATCTTGAGGCGAGGTAATAGTTCTTAGGCCAATGCCTACGCGATGTCGATAGTCAAGTCCTCTGACTTCTATCTTATCGCGCCTATTCCTCTAATCTTATTAAGTCCTTGTTCAGGACTTCTTCGTTCGTCGTGGGACGAGAAATAGTTTTCTCACTTGGGAGGAAAGACAATTCTTGGGTTTCTTAAGATAAATCTTAAAGAGCGTAAAGGTAGGTTTTATTGTAATAACTTAAAGGTAGGAAATAAACAAGAAGAACATGTGAAGAGCTCATACTTGGAGTCCTAGTAACCCCTTTATATACTTGCTCTTCACCTCGCATGACTGACACCCTGCGTCATGCGAACCCTGTGACTCATATCGATAAGTCATGTAAAATCCATCAGATGACTCTTATGAGTCGCTGCGCGACATGCCTAAAAAACCAATTAAAACATCATAACTAGTTCAGGTACACAACTCGCATCACCTGAGTGAAACCCATGACTCATAACTATGAGTCATGTACAAAAATCCTAACGTCATGCGACTCACAACTATAAGTCACGAACAAATAAACATAATAACCTATAGTGCACTAATGTGCGTCATGTGAAATTCCAACATACCTATAGCTCGGAATTCTGAGCTATGTAAAATCTGCCTTGCTTAGTCACTGTTTGTGACAATATTACCAAGAGTCGATTTCTTTAACATCTTTCTGAATAGCACAAGCTATTTTAAACTTTTTTGCCCTCCAGGACTGCTCCACTCTTAGGCTGAGTGTTTCTCTACATTCTCTAGCAGCCTTCCTCAAAGCACTTGCAGCTCGTAATGCTTCCAGCTCCACTTCTCTTAGTTTTTGCCACTCCTCTGTCCTCCTCCAGGCTGTATTTAGCTTATTTTCCCTCTTCTCAGCCTCCCTATTCCATTGATTTACCTCCTCAACTGCCTTTTCCTTCTCCGCTTTAGATTCCATCAACCAAACATAGAAAGGACCCTTCTATTTCCATCCAATTACTCCCCAGTACATTACTGATCCACCATGACTTTTTTTTACTCTAACACAATCCTTGTCCCACCTTTCACTCTTCTCTCTCCAAACTCACTGAACCCCAAAGCTAGCTCCCACTTCGATTGCCATCTTATTTGTAAACCGCTAGTTTGCCCATTCTTTTGCTAGGAGCCCAAGCTCATGCTCCTGCCAGTATTTCTGATAGTAACAAGTTGTTTATTAGTAACTACACAATTTTCTAGGGCCAATCTGGGGTCTTTTTACCAGATATTTTTCCTTGTTCTCCAAAGTAAGAATCGGCTTAAATTCTTCTTTATAACTCCCCACTCCCCTTTCTGCTAAGGTACGAAGTAATGTTGTTATACTAACATGTTGAAAGTCTGCCTCACGCTGGATATCGACCATCTTCACTCGCCGTGTATTGTAATCTCATTTAATAAATAATATCAAGCGATCCTTATCGTCCTTGCTTAATGCTGCAGGTCTTCCAGAATGTGCTTTTAGATCCAAGATGGAAAGAGTTATTAGTTCAAGAAGCAAGGGTAGAACATCACTAGAGCCAGGCTGTCCAGTATTCTGATGTGTCTTCAAAGCATTATTCTTTGCATCTTACCAAATGTCGTGGGCTATGGAAACTGGTACACTTGTAAGTTCTTTGATTTTTTCAAAAGGAATAGGCTTGTCAAGGCTTTGGAAAGCAATTATTGCTGCGTGGCGGCGTGGAGTTATCTCTTTTCCTGTATATGTCTAGTTAGTAATGAATTCTATTTGACCTCTTAATTGATATAACCTGCCTTTTTTCATTGCAGTAAATAGATCTGACAAACTAGATTGGGGTGTACTAGCATGAGAGGTATGAAGAAACGAGTAGATAAATTATATATTACACATTTAGCTGGGGGGACTTGGCGCCAAGATTTCCGGATACTTTTGAATCAACCAAGTACTGTCCTGGAGTGCATCAAAATCTTTTATAACATGACACAAGATGCGAGTTTTCAACTCTCAATTCCCAACTTCCTCACCCTTTCCACAATTTCTGACCAACTAAAATCTAAGTCCCAGCTACCCCCTATATCCCACCTATAATGGCTCCTTGCAAGTCAACGGCTTCTCAGGAAAGACTCCGAGTCCTGATGCCTCTCGTCTAGTAGCACTTCTTCTCTTGCTTTGATACAAAAGTCCAAATTTGTAAAGCAGCCACAAAAAAAGAAAGGGAAAAGAAGCACCATGAAGGTTTTGTAAATAATAATCAAGTGTTGTCACTTCCGCGCACTGGAAGCTCTGCCGTTTAACTGTGTGTTGTAACTAGATTCCGACTCTCAGATGACCGCCTTTTCGTGCTTGCATTCCTTACCCCTTCCAGTCCTGAGAACTCTCCACTTTATGCACAGTTGTGGGATGTTCCCTTGCTTCCTGACCATTTCCCCTCGTTGTTGTCATACCCTGTTTTCTCCTTCTACCTCACTCTGCTGTTTGTTCTCCAAGATTCTACTAGCTTCAGTCTACCCCTCTTTCAGTAACTAATCACCACCCAAGCTTCTCCCCCAAGCTTCCCCCCCATGCCTCCTATTGCCTTGTCCTCCCATCTCAATCTAAGATACATTCGTATGAAATAAGGCTCTGTTTGGCGGGAACGGAACCTTTTGAGACTGTTCAATTTTCTCATACAAAACGACCGTTACGAAACGGAAGGGTAAGAAAATTTGTATGGGGAACGGAACGGAACGGACGCGAACGGTCGTATCCAAACAGACCCTAACCTCCAGAACATTCCATCATGCGTATCAACTTACTTCTAAGCTTTACAAACCTTTCAACACTTCTGGATAAGTCTCCGGTTCCTTCAATGGAGCTAGAACAAGGTAGCTACTGACGGTACCGGTGATTTTCAATATCTCTCTTCCTAATTTGAATTTTATATGTATGATACCGGTGTGGAGGAGCTATAGGTTTGATTGCTTGTGGTTATCTCTGATAGGATTTTTGCTGTATAAAAACCTTCTGCTTGGGGAGGTTCCAGCGGGCTGGATTCTTTTGTATATTGTCTAAGTTCGCCCCTTCCCCTCTGTTGAAGGCTCTGGATAGATGGGGCTGGATTGGGATTGATTGTGGAAGGTTCGGTAGTGTGGCAGCAAGTTTATATGTTTTATGGAATAGTGTGGAGGTTCAGAGATTGATAAAAGAGTTTCGTTAGACATGTCTTTCCTTTGTTATCATGGAAGCATATGGATGGAAGCATATGGAGGAAAGAGCAGTTTGCATGGAGAGATTGTGAAAGGTGTGGTGATCGATGGAAGGATCAGGATCCATTGTTTATGTTTTACTTATACCGCTGTCTTTACTATTAGTTTGTTGTGGTGGGAACGAAGTTGTGTTTTTACCTTACCTCTCATTCTTATTCCTCTGCCACCACAGTTCTCCACATATTCTTTTAGTTATTTCCGGTGCGCGACAGGCTATCCGTTGCTATCCACATTAACACCCTCTTGGTTACAGATAAGTGATAACCACCACCCACAACACTAATCGATACTGTTTTCCACCTATTTATATTGGGTCCTGCTTCGTCACCTTTTACCTCTTCACTATTAGTCATATTTCACGAACCCCAATCACCCATATTTTTACTCCTTGTATCCTACGGTTTATAAGCCAGTTATTCAGATCCTAGCAACCCAAATTCCACAACCGCGGCCCGGTCGGGAACCCCATCCACTTTTAGGGGCCAACAGAGACACTTCCACACTGGTAAGCTAAGCTTGTGTCCCTACTCCACCTTACATATCTGGCTCAGCACCCGCGGCTGCCTGCTGGAACGTACTATATTCAAAATACGCGGCATGCCCCCGGAGGGTATTCCCTTCTCTTGTATTTTACGATACCTTTATATCTGGGCCAAGGGTTAGCACATCTTTCGTGATATCCTAATTATCTTCGGCGGGGAAAAAATATCCCCTTGGCCTTACCTCAAAGAGTGTGATAACGACGTAAATACTAGAATTCGGTGGGAGCGATATCACTAATATAATGACTATAGCTCTTGCGGGTATACTAAGTGGGAGGGGATACCATGAGAGCTTATGAATTATTTTAATATACCGATCTCCATAAGGACCTGCTGGTATTCCAGGGTTAGGCTTGTTTAAGTAGTAACAGGTTAAGTAGTTAAAAGACTTAGGCCCTGTTGGGAATGCCACCGGAAAAACAACGAGTTTTTCCATGAAACAATAGATCCTTTAAAATAAAAGTACCCAGCATTTGTGGAAATACTGGTGTTTGGCATGACCAATGTCTTCTGTATTTTAACTACGTTTGTGTAGTGTTTCCAACGGTCCAGTCTGTCCGTCTTGGGGGTAGGACGGGACGGACTATAGCTGGTAGTCCGTTATTTTGGCAGTGTCAGGACGGACTACGCCTCGGACCGGTAGGACTGGACGGACTACCGGGGACTACAGTCCTTCTGCATGGGATTCTAGGGACAAAACGATACCCCCCGGCAGTCCCCTGTAGTCCCCTGCCGTCCTTAGTAGTGCCCCACCCTCCCTGGCGATCCCCTGCCGTCCCACTTGCCAACCTCGTTTCACCCCATAGGGCCCGCCGTCCTACCCAAAGACGGCTTTCCTCCACTTTTACTGCCTGGGACGGACTGCACCTAGCCGTCCGGTTCCCCCCAGGCCACCTGGAAGGCCACCTGGCGGGGCCCGGGGGCAGTTGGGAACGCTGTCATGGCAATGTCGCTGGCCCCTAAAGGAAGCCTGATAGTCAATAGGCAATCCGAGACCGATCGGCCCTAATGGGTGGGCGTGTGGCTTGTTTCTACCGTACTCCTAAGGCGGCACACAGGCGCTTACTAGACGGAAGTCTTGACAGAACGGAATTCCTCTCCACCAAGGATTACGGCACTATGAAGCGGGGAATAAGGCCGTTGGTGGTCCATGCGGGGTGCGCGTCCAATAGGAACCGCGAGAATCTGTTCAACCAAGAGTTTTATCTCGCTACCGTATGTCTTCGTCTCCTTAAGAGAAAAAAGAAAATCTTGGAAGGGATGGTGGTAGTTCGTGGTTGTGGGCGGGGGGGCTTACCTCGTAAATTCAAGTCCGGTGCCCGATAGTGGAGTATGGGATTGTGGGTTCTTGGGGCAACGGGGGTAGCTGTAGTTCTACCAAGCTGGGGAACAGACTGGTGGTGGAAAGATCAACTCTCGCAATCCCCTATCAGTTCTCCACTATTGGCAGTTGCGCAACTCATTAATATTTCAATCACCCATTCCTCTCGATCTAATCATAGCCAAGCAGGACCCCTATTATCTGCGTGACCATGCTCATGTTCATCACTAGTTAAATAATTTGATTGAGATGAGATTTTTTAAAAAAAAACTTAAGACCGCTGTATACAAAAAAGGGGGGGAGCCCCAATCACCTCCCCCGATCTTCATTTTATTCACTCCCGTTCCCCCTCAAGACTGACCAATCACGTCTTATGCATATATCCCTTAGGTTGCACATGCACAACTAGTGCCCTCGCCTCTCTCTGCCTCTCTAGTCACTCACACGATCAGCTGTCAATCCAATTCCAAGAACCAGTTAAGCAAGGTTGACTTACGGCAATCGCATGATAGGTTTTCATCATTGGGCAGCGCCCCAGACCTGACTGGCAAACAGCCCAAGCTCCTGTTCAGTGAAGATAATACTGCCTTCACTGCAGCCTTGGACAGGCTGGCGAAGGAAAATTTTGGTGAAATCGAGCTCCAAGGGAGCTCCGGTAACGATTGGTGTAGTACCCGCTGATTCGTCAGTAGGAACAACAGGCCCGCTGATATCAACTTCCTGGATTTTTGTAGGTGTTCCTATCAAATGACTAAGGCCAGCCTGAGCGACATGTGGGCTTGAGTGGGTGGCCATTTCCCATTTCTCGATGTGTATGCTTCTTGCCTTTTTGGAGATCGAAAAGAGGAGGACAATGTTGACGCCCTCCACCGAGTTCTCTAGCCACCAGCGAGACTCTACCCTCAGGCGATTGAGGGATTCTGATACTCCGCATTCAATGACCAAGGTTGGCCAATCATTTTCGTAGGGGCGAAAGGTATTAGGTTTGTAGGCGCAGTCCGCTTCTTTCCAGCTCTGAATTCCCTGAAAGGTAGTACCGCCAACCAGATTAAGAGCCTGACGTAGCCCCATTCTGATTACCTTGGCCCACAATTCCACCGAAAATCCCCGACTCACTAATTCATGTACACCACTGGGCTTGATTTTGACGATTAGTGTTTGCTCGCCCTTAAGGTATAAGAAGCGGTGTCGTTTGTGCTGGGTGCGACGAAGAGAATTGATCTTGATAAGCTCGTGGGGTGTCACAGGGCAATAGGCTACGTACTGGCCAGCCTGATGTGCCTCCAATTTCTCAGCATGCGACTCAATTGCCCTAATGAACGTAGTGCTACCACTATACCTGTGGTGTTCTGCCCCTTCTAACCCCTCGCTGAGATAATATTGTATGTCAGATAGTTGAACAGGTCCTGAGCGTTGGGAGCCAGAGCGGATTTGCGAGACATCCATATTCTTGGTGGCAGTAGATATATATACTATGCCGCTCGAGTGGAGGTGGTGCTGGGCTTATTGTTTGGGGATGGTAGGGTTTAAATAGCTTAAAAGGAGCAGTACTTGTATGGTAGCATTCACTCAAAAGCTACACCTTGCTCCGTGCAACATGTAATGCTCAACCCTGTATGAAGTTAACACTATACTCTAAACTGGGCAGCTTTTGAGAAACTTAACCTTCATATGTATTAATATTATAAAATTGATAACATGCCAACTTTTATTCACACCAATCTTCAATGAATGTCTCAAGTAAGCTTTATTCCAACTCCATATCCCTATTCCTGGTACTGATCTGCTGCTGAGACTTGTATTTTTTATGTACCAGATTTTCATATTCTGCAGATGCCTGCATTTGAAGAAGGTAGTCGGTCCACAATAGAAGATAGTTTTCAATTTGTTTGATTGTAATTTCTAACAGCAAAGAATGGTTTCTTTTAAGAGATAAAATTCTTTAGCTGACAATTATGGATGGGTAGAATTGATATATTATCAATTTTATAATATTCTTACAACAGAAGATTAAATTTCTTAAGAGGTGCTGGGTTGAAGATATAGTGCTGGCTTCATACAAGGGTGAGTGTTACGCTATATACTGAGCATGGTGTACCTTTTGAGTGAATGTCACCATACTGTGTTCGTTTTACTTGTGCTGATGATTATCTTTTGATACTTTTATTTCTTCGATATCTCTCCTTGATTAAGAAACAATTAGGATATTACCCATTCAGGACATAGACAGATTTATATATTTAAAGACCACTGATTCCACAATTGAACAGTAGACTTCAACAGTTAGTATTCTAACATACTTCATTGAACAGTTGCTTCTTCAAGTGTCTATCTATCTATGATAATAAAACAGTAAGAACTGATCATGTGCCTGAATGTCAAGAAATCTGCAGTGTGTCAACGTTTGAAACCAACTTGAATAGTATAGTTTCTATCAACCTATTTACTGTTATTTAAGCTTAGATGAAAATGATATGTAACTTGATAAGAACTTGAATAAGGGGTTTTTGGCTTAGTACTTTAGATTACATATCATATTCAGGTATCAATTTTTATTTTCAATCTGTAATGGCAGTGGTAGAAATTCTGTAATAGGCTACAGTATACTTTTAGAATATATAAAGGTAGAAATTAGATCCTACAGAATGTCTAAGTCTATCATTATTCTTTACCATCTTTACTCCCTTATACTCATCATCCTATCTTAATAAGATAGCTTGGTCTTTACTTCAGCCAGTATTCAGTTCATATTACAATCTTTACAGTACCTTATGTCAAATTTTATATCTTTTTTCACTTCTGTTCTGAGTCTCTAACCTGTTCAAATCAGGACCTGTACTAGCTGCAGACATGCAAAGGAAGATGTTTCTTCTGAAAAAATATGGCCAAGGGGTTACTACTTAACAAGCACTACTTGCTTTACCAAAAGACAAGTATCTAAATATAGGATCCGACACCAGAATCTCCTACATACCAACTTATCAGATATTCATCCTCCTATGGTAAATATCTCCACGTGTAGTACATTTTCTTTCTTTCCCCCCGGCTTGCTTCATACTATATAGGCTCAATAAGCTCCATAACCTTCTACCCCTCTTGACAAATAACAGACTCATAAGCATTACAAATATAACATCAATACTAGAATCGGAGGTTTCCCTGATATCCCTCACTCTTGCTGGCCTGAGTACCGGTGATTTACAACAGCTACTACATGCCACTCACGGCCTCTAGTTTGTCGTTCTTAACTCCGCACAAACTATAGTTTTTCCCGGTATATTCGAAGGGCCTCCTCGGCGGGTTGAAGCTAGTAGCCCACTTCGCGCGACCCTAGGGCAACCGAACTGCCTCGGGTATGGTGAATCACTTTGCGGGCCCGCCGACCCGGTGGAGGACTGCAATCCGCCGTGAACGGGGTGGGGGGGAAATGCGGTCTTCTGTGAACGACGAAGGGCACGGCCAGCGGATTGGGGTCAGGTATTTTCCAGGTTTGTTGGTAGTGCCCGCCGTGGATGCCGCCTTATGGCTCCTTAATCACCACGCCCGCGCTGGAGCTGCACCACGGTATCCAGGCGGATGGAACTCGACTGGGTGTCTGGGTGGTGTGGTCCAAGAATTTTCTTGCGCCCTTCCAGTGCATGCCGGTGCATCGCCTCTGATTCATCGTATTTTCCTTGGTTTTGCAGCACCGTGGCCAGGTTGTCGAAACTTGTTAGGGTATCCGGGTGGTCTGCTCCATGGATCCGCTGCAGCCCCTCCAGCGCACGCCGATGCATCGTCTCTGATTCATCGTACTTTCCCTGACACCGCCACACCCCAGCCAGGTTGCGGACACTTGCTAGGGTGTGTGGGTGGTCAGGCCCGAGGATCTTCTCCTGCCGCTCTAGTGCACGCCGATTCATCATTTCAGATTCATCGTACTTTCCTTGGCATTGCAATACCCCAGCCAGGTTATGGACGCTTATTAGGGTGTATGGGTGGTCTGGCCCGAGTATCTTCTCCTGCCGCTCTAGTACATGCCGATTCATCATCTCTGATTCGTTGTACTTTTCTTGGTATTGCAGCACCGTAGCCAGGCCGCTGACACTTGTTAGGGTGTCTGGGTGGTCTGTTCCGAGAATCTTCTCACGCCCCTCGAGGTCATGCCGGTGCAACGCCTCTGACTCATTGTACTTTCCTTGGAGTCGCAGCACCGTAACTAGGTTATTGACACTTATGAGAGTGTCAAGGTGGTCTGGTCCAAGAATCCTCTCACACCCCTCCAGTTCACGCCGATGCATCGTCTCTGATTCATTGTACTTTCCTCGCAATCTCATCACCATAGCCACGTTGTTGACACTTGTTAGGGTGTCTCGGTGGTCTGGCCCAAGAGTCCTCTCCTGCCCCTCCAGTGCACGGCGATTCATCGTCTCTGATTCTTCATACCTTGCTTGGTAATTCAGTGTAAGAGCCAGGCAGTTGACACTTACTAGGGTTTCTGGGTGGTCCGGTCCATGAATCATCTCGCGCCTCTCCAGTTCACGCCGAATGACCGTCTCTGCTTCATCGTACTTTCCTTGGTCGCGTAGCGAAGCAGCCAGGTGGCCGACGGTGGTCTGGACCATCTGATGATTTGGGCCCAATGATTTCCCAATATCCTCTAATAAACCCCGCAGTATGTTCTCGGCCACTTTTGCCTTTCGTTGAAGTATGCTTATCAAGCCCAGGTATACAACTCTCCTGGAACCCTCCTCGTTGCAGTCATACTCTTTACTCTCTTCCCGAAGTTCAATACATCGACGCAGTTGAGTTTCTACATCATTGTAGGAACCCATATCAAGAAAGTACCGTCCCAGGCGAAAGGAAAGCTCTTCGGCAACGGGATCCGTTGAATGTCTCGCTACTACAAGCACATGTGGAATGTACGCAGAACTAACATCCCTCCACGTGGTCCAACGGTGAGGGAACAACCTTGAAACCACTCTCAGCGCAGTGGCCCTCCACCGATTCAATTCTTCGGTTGGTAAATACACTTGCAAAGACAGCTGCACCAATCGATGAAGCTCGTAAAATGTCTGATCTCCACGTTCGACTGTCGTAACTAGCGAAAATCCCAATAGCTTTCCGATGGCCTGACGAAACTGAATTGGATCGTCTATCCCTTTCAAACCGCTTTGACTAACCAGCTCTTCGGGTATGTTCTGACGATCGAAGAACGCAATTAAACGCAAGAGATCCGCCGCTGGGGCGATCTGCCTCGTGATCCGGTCAAAGGTGATAAAGTACGTAGCTAGGATGCTTTCGGTCATATCAACCTCTCGTTGGATATCGCAAAACGGTTGCGAAAGGAGTCTCTTGGCGTGTTCGTCGCTTCCCCGGAAAATGGTCCAGTAAGCTGACGGCCGTGTCTGGGTTTCAGTCATGAAGGCCGCCGCCCCTACGATAGCCAGCGGGATGTGATGTATGGACTTCAGGATCATTGTGACCGCCTCTTTTTCTTCATCTCTTGAACTGCTCCAGCTACCCAAACGTTTCAAAAACAATACTCGTGCTTCGTCCTCTTCCATTTTCCCGACGTCGATCCTTTCGCAACCCTGCCAGGACGCAACTTGGAGTGATCTGGTAGTGAATATTAGGGTGCCCCGAGGCCCCTGTGGTACAAATTTGGAGATGGGACCGCTGTTGCCAATAAAGTCCTCCTCGTTGTCGGCGTTGTCAATTACCAGTATCCAATCGCCACTGTCTGGACCGTCAAACCATCTCTTTATATTTAATAGGAATCCCTCTTCGTCCATCTCGGCGCTGAGTAGTGGAATCCGGACATGTTGTGCAATAGCCCTAAAGCCCTGGCTAAATTTTGGTAGCCCACTCCCGTGCACCCAGAAAACATCACAATCGTTCTCGTTTGTGCACCGATAGAGGTATTCGAGGGCAATCTGGGTTTTTCTGCGAAACGTTAGTAAATTCCTAAAATAGCGATCATGAATGCGTACCCAGAACCGCCCAATCCATGAAGTGCAATCCGGTTCTGCCCGCCACGCTCGGAAAGCCTCTTTACCGACTCGATGAGATCTTCACGGCCTGTGAACTTGGCGTTCCTGCAATAGGGGATTATCCGATAAGGCCTGGATGCTTGTTCTACTTTTAATCGCGCATTAGATCTTTGCCAGATATCTCTCGGGAGAACTGATAATACCTCTTGCCCCCGCTCCAAACACATACTGGTGATATACCTGCCCGTTATTAGTAAAGCTGTTCAGGTTCCCGGCGCTGATGCGATTATTATTATGACTGCCGGAAACGATGTGACTCCCTGAATTCCCGCTGAAGTGTCCGCTGACATCGGCTGGGATTTTTCTGGGAGGGTTATTAGACGGAAAAAAAAAATTGAAATTGAAGAGAAGCGCCTACCGATACATCATGTACTCCAGTAGCTAGCTCTCACTTTAGGGTCGTTTCCGGGGGTTGGGTAGAAAAATTGTGATAACGCTAGCGTATCTGAAATGGGAAGGTATCCTATAGCTTGCCAACCGTGGTAGTCTGAAATCGTTTCGCTTGCGCGGAAACAAGTCAATACCGCGAGATATGGTATTATAGAGCGAGCGGCCGAGGAACCAACCTTGAATACGGAGATGAATAATTCTGTAGTTTAGGGGTAGCTATAGGATGTAATCCTAGCTCCAGGTCGGGTTACTCGACTTTAGTGAAGCATAAGGGTCTGGCATAAGGGTATAGAATGGATACTAGAGAAATAGCGTCACGGGGGGCAAGGAGGATGAAAGTTCACTCTCAGGAACTTGGAAGCGGGGAGAAGCTGGAGAAAAGTAAATAATACGGTACCCTAACCCTACTATTAGCCCTTTGGTACAGTATCATACGGTAGTCTGCGAACCGAACCGCCAGTTGATTGGCTTTAGGCAATGGTCAGCATTTGGTGCACCATTTGGTTCGCCCCTGAAAAGTCTAAATTTAAGTGAGACAGTAAGATGACAACAATCTCCCGACCGCAGAGAATTCTCCTGCATGCAACGAGCACGAGTGCTGTACAAGTACCGGTACTACAAGTACAGTACCGTAGTACGGTACGAGCAGCTGGGCATTTTAGAATGCAGGGGTGAGTACAAGTACGAGTACCGTACTTTATCGTGCGGAGCGGCGTACTAATTTGAGCCCACCAAGTGATGCTGATACGCGAATAGAGTTGTTTAGCCTATCCTCGGAAGACACCTTGCCCTCTCATGATATGACATACAGTAGAACCTTCGCTTCTCGGTAAAAGGCTATCCCCCCTTCACGATTAAACAAGCGTACCGGTAGACTCCTAGCCCAAAATCCATCGGACTTCCAAAACGGGACAAGTGGTATGAGGCTCGCATACGATAATTAATTCAGGGGACCGGTAAATGACCGGAGAATGGCGGTGGCAACACAGATCCCACTCAGCTCTATCGAAGATGGAACTTTGGATGCCCAAGGCAGTGCACGGGATCCAAGCACTTGTACCCCAGTGGACAGGGTACCGGTGGTTATGCCAAGCAACAAGGCCAGAGCACATCCGGACTCGAGTACCCTAATTTACCTAATCGTGCAGTTGAAATGGGCATCGCTAGGCATACCAGTACGGTACCGCTAGTGGAGAGAAAATGTGTGCATGCAGCTGTGAAATACAGCATGAGTTGAGAAGTTATCGGTGGTCTCGGACGGACTAGAGCACGCTGCTAATTTGAGAACATCGACACCTACTGTACTGGTACGGTATGATACATGCGATATTTAATTCTACAGCCATCCAACTCCCCCTTTACTTTAATAAATTTTGAACTTCCGCCACCACCCCAGCCCGTTGACGAAGTACGGTATGGTAGTGTACTCAGTGCATACAAATAACGACCCACCTGGCATTATCCTGTCGCTGCCACTTTTCCGAATCCCTGTTTAGCACTTAGTGCTCTTTCAACAATGATTGCATGCCCCATTATTAGAGGGATCCAGCAGTGAAATTAACGCCCTACCAAAAATGCCAAGCATCAGAGGGCCCACTTGATTGAATTCTCGGGTTCTGGAGATCCAGCACTGCAACAGGATGCCAGGATACTCGGGAGACAATTGAATGACAACCCAAGACATAACCTAGCCCAAATTGTCATGGAATCCAAGGATTGCTTGCAGAAAGAGTAGTTGCCATACTCATTGCGCTTTAGATTTTGCCTTGGCCATTGTTTACACTCAGCATTTCTAGCAAGGATAACGCTTACCCCTACCATCCAGCAATAGAGGGTAGGGGTGTTAATGATCCCTACTTATTATGCCAAGTGGGGGTGCTTGGTATTTCACTTTCCCGATTTATCACTGTTGCTGTGGTTACCGCATTTTCTGCAGGGATAACTTTCACTGCTGGATCCCTCTATTTTGCTCTCCCAATAAGGTGCTCCTTAAGCTCCTCCAACCACCATTTTTCCACGAGACAAATAGCACAAAGTCGGGTAGATCAGTGATGCGCAAAACATTGGCCCATCAGCGACCACTTCCTCCTCCACCTAGCTACTCCTCTCGGGCTAGGATCGCCGCCATCATGACCGCGTCAGTCTCTCAGAGCATTCCAAGGTAGAGAGTTTTTATTCCCCCGGGGTTTTAGGGAATCCCTCGCGAGCCCGCACAGAGGGGTTTCGGCTACAAATTTAACCAGTGCTTCTGTTATATCATACTAACTTGGAAGGCAAGGCAGAAACCTCAGGGCTCCACAGACTTCCGTGTGCTCCCGGCCAGACACCTTCTTGCCTCCCCAGCCATCAGGTACCGGGACGAGACTGCCGACGGTGTTATGTTTGGTAGGATGGTTTGGGTCAACGGTTTTCCCCGTTGCTTTCTATTGTGCGCCGGGTGATTATCTCGGGTTCATCATAATTTGCTCTCCTCCGCAATAACATGGCCGGCTTGTTAGCAGTCGGTCGAGCTGTGTCATAATATGACCGGAGATCCTTCTGATGCCCCTCCACATTTTCGCTATTTCGCACTGTTCGTGGACCCTCTACACCCGAAGCTTCTGCAGCTTCCCGCTAAATATATCGAGATCGATTTCTGTGTTTTATTCTTGTACAACTAGCGGGTGGAAAGTCTTGGCACCCCCCCCCATTTTGCACCAAAAGTATCCTACTTCACCAACTCAGTAAACACATCTTATAAACTAAACAATACAGAT